GTGGCTCTTAGAAATGTATTGATAATAGTCTCAAGATCTTTCATAGGTCAGCCAGCTATTTCTTTAAAGAATTGCTTCTTAACATAGCTTGCTGCTTAGTTATTTAATTAAAATGCAATCTCCAAATCATTCATATTTCTTTTTGAGACTATGGCTTCTTCTGGAATGTCTCTTGCCTAGAGATTTATTTATTTTTTTTAAAAAAGTAGCAGCTGGCCTCCTTGTGGACTTCTCTAAATACCATGAAGAGATGTGGATGTCTCCAGTTTGTGTGCTTCCTAAAGTCTGATCTTACAAATCCTTATTGAAGCTCCATAATGGATGCTCCCTTATTTCAGAATACCTTGAAACAGATCTCACAAGGTGCCTTATGATTATCCCCCACCCTTGGCCTCTGGGATTCTGGCCAACCTGGATCTTTGGAACTTTGTTCAGGTTACCCATATGCCTTTGGAAATATCTTCCTTGCAAAGCCAAAGCAACAGGATCACATGTGAATAAGCATATGGTAGCTGGGTGGTTGCAGTGAGAAGAAAGATAATAACTTGGCTTCCCAACCTGTCACAATTATTCTTAGCAGGTCTGAAAACAAAACCAGAAGTCCTCAATAAAATATGAGCACTCTTTAAAGGAAATAATAATAAAAAACCCTGCACTTTTCTATCAGATTAAATAAGAAAAATTAAATCCTCCCTTCTTGGAAGGAATCCAGAGGATGGCTGTCTGTGGACCTTCAGATATCCTTTCATGCAGGCAGCTGGTGTGGAGTGCAACTTTGACAGACATATATATCAGTTGAATCAAAAACAAGAAAGGGCTGTAGGACAGCTGAGCCTTCTTGAAGAGCACCTACCTTCCTTCGGTGGTCGCTTGGCTTCCCTGGTGAGATTGCAGACCTGGGTGGTTTGCAGCTCCTGTGTGAGGCAGCCTTCCGTCTGCTCATTAAGGGGCAGCACTACATTATTGAGCAACACCAGGGAGTGGTCATCTCCCCCCCATTCTCCCAAGTGCTGAGGGCAGGTGCATTTTGTATACATGATCCCACAGGACTCTGTTCTCCCATTCTCAGATTTCAAGCAGCTCTCCAGCCAAGTGCATAATACGTGACAACCAAACTGGCTTGGGCTCACCTTGTTCAACACCAAAAATTCAAAGAAAGACTTTTGATCATCTTCCTTTTTGTATAATCCTATGAAATCGAAGGGGTAGACCCGGCGAATCTGAATGAAATTCTTATCGTACTGCAGAAATACAAAAGCATTCTTGGAATCACAGAGTTGCATTATAGAATGGTTATTCTTTAAGAGATCCTTAATTTTCTCATGGGAAAAATGATCGAACTGATAAGCCAACAGTGAAAAGTTAGAGCAGCTGAAGTCCTTTTTGGAAAATTTCAGGTAAATACTATATTTGGTTGGATCTGGGTTTTCCAGCGTCCAAGTGCAGTTTGTAAAGTTTTTGGGAAACATTTCGCTTACAGAATACGATCCATAAATGACCCCCTTCACCAGCGTTGAACACCAGAAGTCTTGGGCAGCATTAAATCCAAACATAACCAGTAGATAGGTGGAAAATATATAAATCAGCAAATTACGAACAGCCTTCATCCTATGTCATTTGGCCTGTAGGAAAGGAGAGGAAAGAAAAATGCAGGTCGGATGCTTCATGCAATGAAAATTAAACTCCTTCCAAAATTTCAGCCAGCTGTTTTCAATATTTCGGTTAGAATGTGCGTATATTTTTCCTCTAAAGGAGGACTTCTTCGCCTTCTTTTTTATTTTTCTTTTAAAAAGAGAATTATAATACAAGGAAATTTTGGATGCTGTGTGAACAGTGCCACCATGTGGCCAGTTTAGCTGTCAAATTCTCCATATCCAAATTTTCAAAAATAACATTTGCTACATTATTAATTGGAATGCCTCCTCCTGCTTAAAACATATACAGTTTGGCAGCACATGACTCTCAACCCCAAATTAGGGTTCAATGGTCTTTGTCTGATAGATCACAAGAGGAACAGTAATTGACTTTTAAGCTAAGGAGCCTTTCTATATAACATTTTCATATACTGCCAGAGGAGGGGGATTGGGAGCAGCTGTTGTTACACAATGTATTTTCTATTATGTTTTAGAAATAATTGTGGTGAAGTAGAGTCGTGATTTTTAAAATGCACAAATTATTATTTGCTACAGATGGGGTACTATCTCCCATATGGCTGCATGCCTGGTTATATTAAGATTTCATTTAAAAAGGAAACTTGGGAGGACATATCAAGATTGAGAAACACTGAAATATTGGAAGTGTTATCTTCAAAGGGAATATAGCAGGTTAGACAGCAATAACTTTTTGCTAGCTATCAGCAGAACTAAAATTTAGAAATCTGAATGCTACAATTTCTGTGTGATATACCCTCTTAGGATACACAAAGTCGATCTATAATATTTCACCCAAGATGGAGCTAGGCAGCATTTCTGTGCTAGAACTTCCCTCTGAAGCAGACCTGGATTATATGTCCTGGTTGTTCCTTGCCCTCTGTTGCTAACAGTTGTGTTTTCAAAATGTGTTGGTTAATGAAATCTACTGTCACCATTTCTCCTTATCAGCACCCTTTCCAAATATAGTAGTTATATTAGTCCTCTACCTGCAATCTTTACTTGCTCTTCTCTAATACTAAAGGAAGTGAGTCTTGGGTACATTTAACCACCTACGGAATAAATGCCATATAGCCCATTTTCAGCATTAATATTTATGAAGTTGTTTAGCCCTTAACAATTCTAATTCTCTTTGTAAGTGGTAGCTGATAAAAGTGACATTGAGGTAATGTTTTTAGTTGGCAACACTAACCTCTTCCATTGTTTGTCTGGAGGCAAACATAAAGAGTTACTGAGTTTTTGACACAGTCTCCCCTCTCTCTAGCTTTTTCATCTTCTCTCCGAATGACCAGGCATCTCCCACCCCCAATTGCGTAATGCTGAACAAATCGGAGGATTCAGTTCCCTCAAAGAGATTTTGTGCTTCCCAGATTATAAATTGCAGGCTCTGAACACTGAGAAGAGAAAAACAGCAGTGACTCTCTTTAAATGTGTAGTTTTAAAGAGAGAGAGCTTTCGGGAGGGTAGAGGTATAGTTGTGGAAATCCCCCCCCCCCATTACCCAAACCATTAGATTTTTCTCTTTGCTGTACATCACAAGCAAATGGTTTCTTTGCAAAACACACACACAACCACAACCACAGACTTGATAGGCCATTTCAAGGCTGCGAAGTGAACTTGCTATGGGTAAACACTGCAAATAATCATCTACTCTTTACAAATGTTGCTGGAGCACTTTACAGGCATTGCAGTTGTGCGCAGCATTGTTCAGGAGGGTCTAGGCACTGAAAGACAATTTAGCAGCAGAGCACTAAATTAGGAATTCCATCAGTGTGAGAAGAGCTGCCTCAAAATCTGAAGGGAATGTATTTGGTTTAAGATAATAAATGTCTGAGGAGGGCATGGGTGGGGGGGGGCGCGGGGGGAACAGCCAGGTAAGATTTTTAAAATACTATGGTCTGCAGTGCTAGGCTGCTTCCTATAAAGAAAAGACAGCATTTTGGCTTTCACCCTCCTTCCTTTTCTTCTGAACAGGAAAGAGGAGATCCTCTGTCAACTACACAGGGCTCTCTTTTGGGTACACTGGAGAGGAGAGGATTTTGGGTGACGATGCAGCAAATGCCAACGACGCGAAGTTCATCTTCTAAGCAGGAGGCTCCGATGGAGGTTTTTTGGAGGTGAAGGGTGATATCTACTTTAGGGGAGGGGGGAAACAAAACTGTCCCCAAAAGATCTACGACTGCTCGTCGAAATCTTTCCCACCGAAAAGCATCCTCGTCTTTTCCCACCTTCCTCGGTGACACTGTAGTTTAATCGAACCTAGACGGCGCCATCACTCCACGGATCTGCTCCGCCACGGAAGACCCACACACAGACTTCCCTTAAACTTCCTATTAACCTCAGGATCCCCCGCTTCCCTCTCCTTGCGAGAAAATCACCCCGATCGTGCGCTAGACCTCCCTGGGTCGAGCGCGAGGGCAGCCAATGCCTTGCCCAGTCGCCGAGGAGACTTCGCCAACTTTTTTCCAGGGGCGAGGAGGGAGCACTTGCGCGGAGGGGTCCCGCCAGGTGGTGCGTCGTGTCTCTCTCTCTCCCACCCCCCCCCCACCTCCCACGGCTCCCGTCTCTCCTTCAGCCCCGAGCTCCCTCTCCTCCCCTCTCCCGCCCCAGCCTTACCTTCCACTCCGAAAGCAGGCAGGCTATTTCTCTAAGAAGACCCCACCGCCACAGGCACACGTCCCAAAAGCAGGCGTGGAGAGGTTCCCCTTCGGGCGGAAGCGCCGTTGCCCATTTTCCTCAGCGCGCATTCAAAAAACCAAAAGACGAAGAAGAAGAAGAAGAAGAAGAGGGCTGCTGAGGGGGAGGGAGAGAAGGGGAAGGGAAGGGAGGGATGGAAAAAAAAACCCGCAGCAGAGAGAGGGGGAGGGAGGCTCAGCACGGCCAAAGGATGGCTTCCCTCAGACCCACCAAATCCAACCACATATAAAAAGAAGGGGGAGGGCAGCCAAAGCCCCCGACCAGAGACTGCAGGAAAGAAGGGCGGGGGGCGGGTTGCAATGGACTTGGCTGGAAAGCAGAGGCTTTCTTGTGTTGTTTCACTTGGGAATAAAGTGTCTCAACCCAACAGCGGAGACAGACCCGGCGAAGGAGATGAGCCCAGAAAGCAAACTCAAAGAGATCCGGCTGCCCTATTGCAGATTTGTTGGCGGGCTTTGGCTCTTGGCGGTTGTTGTCAGTCGGCTTGGTCTCGTTCTCTTTTCGCCGCCTTCCTCTTCTTCTTCCTCCTCCTCTCCCTCCCTCCGGCTCTCAAGTACCTGAGGGAAGGACAGCGGCTGAGGTGGAGAGGTGGATGGGGATGGCTATACAATCTCTCCCTCGCAAGCTATAGCCTCGGCCGAGGATGTCGAAGAGCTTCTTCGAGCGCGGAGGGGAGAGGAAGGAGTCCGCGAGAGAGCGAAGGGAAGGCGGCGAAGCTCGGCGGGAGCGCGGGAAGAGCGAGCCACGGTGAGTGTGGGGCTGTGTGTGTGTGTGGCGTGCGCGCGCGCCCCTCTCTGTGTGAAGGAAAGAGAATGGAGATGTGTGTGAGCTCCAGTGTGCGCGTGTGCGCTTTCCCCCCTCTCCTCTGTGTGTGTGTGTGTGAGGAAATGAGCGCGCGCGCGCTACTCCCTCGCGCTGTCTCCCGTGGCGAGTGCGCCCCGCGCTCGGCTGTCCGCGCGCGTTTGTGGCTCCACCACCTCGCTCCTTTCCCTCGCTCCCTCCCACCCTTCCTTTCCCTCCGCCGACCGACAGCTCAGGCTCTGGGAGCGCAAGCACCGCGCGCTCCGCTCGACGTCCTCTCCGCGCCTTTCTCCGCCGTGTGCGCGTGCGCGAGGCAGGCTTCCCTCTCGGCTCCGGCAAGTGGGCCCGGCGCGGCGGTGTGATTTCGCACGTCACAGCTACTCAACCCCAAGCACGTCTCTCCCCCCCTCCCCTCCCCACAACAAGCCGGTCTTTTTCTGCGTCTGGGAGGTTTTTCCAGCTTCAGTTCCCACACGGCTGTGGCTGGCTGCGAGCGAAACTCGGAGGCTGGGGAAGAGAAGGGGGCGCGCGCGGGAGAGAAGAGCGAGAGCGCAGCCTTTGATTTCTCTCTCTCTCTCTCCGTCCTCTCACCCCCCCCCCACCTCCACCACCCGCCGCCTCCCTCCTTTCGCTCTTTGCTCCTAAAGCGTAAAGCCCTCTGTCGCAGCCCCAAGAGCTGTCAGTTCGCCGCCGCGATGCAGATTTAAATGATCTGGCGCTCCGAGGGAAAACATCGCAGCTCTCAAAGTGCCGCCTTCCACTGTTGGGAACAATAGCAATTTCTTCCGCGAGGCTGCAATTAACACCTTGTTTGTTCTTTGCCCAAAATCTAGGGGGCTCTTGCTTAGGATTGTGGCAGCATTTTCATGGCTGGAGAGAGAGAGAGACTCAATCAGTCTGCAAATAGCAAGTGATAGTGACTCCGGAAGGCTGAGATTTCTGCTTCTTTCCCCACTCTCTCTTTTTTACCTAAGTTATCGTCTGTGGGAAGGGCGGGTGGATTTGAAGAGAGGGAATTGTTCCACTGATTTCTTGCCTGTCTTGTTCGCGGCGACAGGAATTCGCCTGCTTTAATTTCTTTGTCACGATAGGGGGACGCCTGATGGCGTAAATATGTGATCAGTTGTTGCCTTTCTTGTTGCTGTTGTATTTTTAAACATCTTTTATTTTTCGCGCTGGGACATGTTTAAGACTGATGGCAGAAAACTGAATGGCCATGGAAAGTAAGATTAGCCCGTCCGGAATAATTTCTGGGAAAAGGAACGCAACTGAATGACAATAGGCATGAATAGGTTTTTTTTAAAAAATATCAAAAAAACACACCAATGCATCAGAACTGCACTGCAGAAGAAAGGAAAGGCAGGTCAGCTGGTGTAACTGAGCCCTGGGGTTTGTCAGGAGGGCTCAAGGAACCCAGAGGAATGCCACAAATATGTGCATGCTGTGGGGGTGTCTGTGGAACTGAGGAAAGAAGGAAAACTGCAATGAGTGGAGTTGCAAGGCACAAATATGAAGGACTGGTCTAATAGGAAGGAATGTGCATCAAGATGCAGTGTTGGTCTCCAGAGTCCAATGGCAGTCCAAGCCTGAATTATAGCCTCTGAAATGGAAACAATTTGAAAAGCAAAATGACAGCAGAATCACAGTGTCCAGAAAAAGGGTGGCTTGTGGGATGATATTGTCTAGGTGAGAATGATGGCATGGAATGATACTGTCCAGATTAAAGTGTCAGCGTAATGGCAGAGCAGATTGGTAGTGGAACGGGCATGGAGAGCAAGCTGACAGTGAAATGACAGTGTCCAGAGCTCAGAGGTATAGCAATGCCCAGCGTGACACAACAAAATGGGTATTCCCAAAGTGAAACGACGTTAGGCAGGCTAGGGCACCAGTATAGCCGGGACTGGGAAGTTCTCAAAATGGAATGACATTGGAACAGGAGAGGATTAGTGAGGCTAATGGAGGTAGAGTACAGCTGTTGAATAGAGAATGTTGAGGGGGGATAAGCCGGAATAATAAGCAGCTTTTGTGGAGTCAGTGCAGTCACTCAGAAGCAGCTTTGGGAAATGGGTGAACAGTGGCAAGGAGCACATTGTGGTGAGTTGAATGAGAAAGTGGACACCACTGGCAGTACCATAGGTGGGTTGAGTGGCAAAAGGGAGAATGTGAAGAATAATATGAATGCCAAGGGACCAGATGGAAATGAAATTAGGATGTTGAATTGAAATCAGGATGCTGAGCAATGGCTGAATTGTACCGGGCAGGTGGAAGGGGTGTGGGAAGGAGTCTAAAGTCAGAGCAAAGATCACACAAGATGGCATCAGGACATTGAGGAGGACTCTAGGAATGGAAAAGATAAGTCTGCATTGGAGTGGTAAGAATGGTAATGAGGAGGCAAAGAGTGTATTGGGAATGACTTGTAGACAATGTGGTGGCTATGTAGAACCATTTTGATGGTTAGTTTGGACTAGGGAAGAAATGCATGAACTCAGTCTTGGAGAACTTTGATGGGAGATGATTGAATGACAAAGTGTGTGGGATGGAATGATAAAACAGTGAGGGATTGCTGGACAGACCCATAATGGAATAATAGAAGTGTGATGGCACAAGTAGATTGATAAGGCTGAGTATCTGAAGGAGAAGACGAAGTAGTTTGGCTACTAGTTGTGTGGCCCAAGTAACTTGATTTTGTGGGACGAAGTAAAGGACAAGTTCATGGAAGAATGGGTGTGTGTATAAATGTGAGTGGGTTTATGCACACCCACTCAAGAATGAGGCAGAGTTGGTAGATATCCTTCACATAATGAAGTTACAAGCAGGCATAGCTATCAATGGAAATTGTGACAGTGGTGGAAAAACCGTAACAATGACTATTGAAAGCAGGCCCTGTGGAGCACATAAGAAATACATCCTGAGAGAATTACTGTGCCCATCCTTCTGTGAGTAAATGTGTGATGCACAAAGCAATATATGGTGCGAATTCTGCCAAGAACAACACATTCTGTTATCACTTCAGTCAAGGCTGCAGAACACTGACAGACCAAAACAAAGCACATAAGTAAGAACAAATCTAAAATGGAATTTATTAATTGTATTAGTTATATTTTTTATCCATCCCTTGCTCCAGGGATCTTGGGATCTTCTTCTCTGGTGATCACTCATAGCCGAGTAAGATTGTCTTCCATAAACATGGTTTTAACAAGGAGTCAGTAAGTGACTGTGGAGGCCAATTCTCGACCCACACATCCTTCCACAGTGGGGACATTGGTTTCCTGCTGGGAGTTGATCACAGTGTGGATTTGCCAAGCGTGTCTTCCTCTTAGCACGTTTCTCCCTTGCATCCTGAGTTTGAGTGTCTTCAAAGCCCATGACACCTTTGGTAAAGGCTGTTGTCCAATTGGAGTGCTCATAGGCAAGTGTTTCCCAATTGTTGGTGTTTATACTACATTTTCAAAAATTGCCTTGAGACAGTCTTTAAACCTCTTTTGTTGACCACCAGCATTATGCTTCCCATTTCTAAATTTGGAATAAAGTAGTTGCTTTGGAAGATAATAATCAGGCATCCGCACAACATGACCAGTCCAACTAAGTTGATGTTGAAGAATCATTGCTTCAGCACTGGTGATCTTGGATCTCAGGATAGAGCATCTGTGGTCTCCCCACATTTTAACATTCCAGCAATCCTGCGAGGTAGGTGAGGTTGAGGGCATCTAGTGAGCTTCATGGCTGAATAAAAGTTTGAGCCCAATCTCCTTGGTTAGTGCTCAACATTATTTTCATACTCTGATCCCAGAGTATGGTATGAAGACACATGTCATGGGCCAGCACCTTGCTGAAGTCTTTCTGAAGCTCTGGATCTGATCCATGTGTGTATAAGAAACCACCAGGGTAACACGTGTATGCCACCTTGGGTTCCATGGTGGAAGAAAGGCAGGATATCAATGTATAAGAAAATCAAGAACAGCATTAAATAAACACAGCAGAAGACCAAATGCAAACTCACATGAAGTGAGAGGATCTTTCTGAGGCATGCTCATAACTATTGCATTAGGAACAGTAGGGCGACACCACAAAAATTATTCTTGATATTCCACAATTATTATATGCTGGACATTATACTTCTCCTTTGGGAGTTGGTGTTGCACTATGGTTTCTGCCATCATATCATGGACATTTCACTTGTCATGCCATTCATTGGCCATGGCCAACCTTTCTTTCTCCTTCAGCCTTCTAACCTCCACTCCCCCACATGTTTCTCCTTCCCATTTCTACTTTGAATCAGTGGCGTAGCGTGGGGGGTGCAGGGGGGGCTGGCCGCACCGGGCGCAACATCTGGGGTTAGGGCAAATCCACGGATTAGGGGGCGCAAATCCATGGGTTAGGGGGCGCAAATCCACGGGTTAGGGGGCGCAAATTACTTGCCTTGCCCCGGGTGCTGACAACCCACGCTACGCCACTGCTTTGAATAGCTCCCTAGGTCTACTGTTGCTCTCTGAAAGTTATTTCCCCTTTCTCTGCATCACTTTTGAAGCATGTATTTTATAAACCAGTTCACACTTGTCATTTGCTTTCTATTTCTTATTTGCTTTCAATGATCATGCAGATGTATCCATTACTAGAAATGGGCATTCGGCCATCTATAATTTGTTTAGAATCTCCCTGTTTACATCCTTGCATTCAGTTTATTTCAGGCTGGATATTGTTAGGCAAACAATGAAGCAAAGTTTGGGTAGGAGGGCACGGTTGGGTGGGGGGAACAGTATGTAAATCTCTTGAAATGTAACAGCTTTCTGTTGAAGTTCAACAAACATTTTTCCCACTCTGCTGCTCTCTGTTGTTGCTCTCTGGCTGAATTTCTCCCTCCCTCCCTCCCTCCCTCTCTCTCCCTCTCCCCTCCCCCCCCCCTGTGTTGAGCTATTCACCAGCCAGTGTTCTTAGATGCTGGAGGG